AACCCTCCATAGCGTATTGTAGCCCCTTTTGTTGGGACCTGGAGGATATTGCTGCGTTATTGCTCCAAAATGAGTCTGTTAAGGCAACTCCGACGTTACGGAGACCCTCCATTATGGCTTTGTTTAACGCATCTGGCTCTCAGCTTGTCGGACGAGCAACAGTAACCAAGGAGGGGCGTGGCTTTGCGAAAGGTCAATTATTGGTAGATTAAGGAAAGAAAATATATGCAACAATCTTTTTTTTTTCACCGGAGAACGTTCTTCCCAATCACCTATGATAATGTTCTCAAAAAATGCTTGGAACTCTCAATCTTTTTTGCAGGAATGTAACCTTTTTGAATACACACAGAATCAGACTTATTTCAAGTATCCACAATCTTTATTTCTGTAATTCATTGTTTTCAGGGGGAGCTCTCCATGTCCATGACTTTGCCATGGTAGAAGTGGAGTGGCTGGTGAAGAACGCGACCTATCGGCCTCACTGCTACATGTGCTTCACTGACAACCATTCCGTCAGATTCATCTTCTCAGCCCGGCCGCCCGCTGCTCTGCCCCGCTGCTCTCCGTGGACCCTGCTGGAAAACCTCCGGGCCAAGATGGTCAACTCCACGGAGCTCGATAACAGGTGAGGACAAATCTTTAATATGAAAGTACCACAGATTTATAATCTGGGTTATTTACAGAGAGAAATCAAAAAAACAATCATAGGATGAAATACGTATGTAGACTCTGCATATACAGTACGTATTTCATCATGTCCAACAGCACGGGATACTTTTATTGTACTATAAATTATTCCAGTGTATATTTTTTGTAAAGAGTAAAAAATGTCAAGGCAAATTATTTTGTCCCATCAGCAGTGTCAAGCATTACATGAGTTAAATATGTTTAAAAGATACAAGAGCATGACCGAAAGAACGAGATTGCGGGTACAAGCGGCCGAGATGGGTTTTCTCCGCAGGGTGGCTGGTGTCTCCCTTAGGGATAAGGTGAGAAGTTCGGTCATCCGGGAGGGACTCAGAGTTGAACCGCTCCTCCTTCGCGTCGAAAGGAGCCAGTTGAGGTGGTTCGGGCACCTAGTTAGGATGCCACCTGGGCGCCTCCCTAGGGAGGTGTTCCAGGCACGTCCAGCTGGGAGGAGACCAAGGGGTAGACCTAGGACCAGGTGGAGGGATTATATATCTCTTCGCTGGCCTGGGAGCCGTTTCCTATCCCCTGTGTGCCTTGGCAGCTGGTTGATGTGGCCAGGGAAAAGAAAGTTTGGGGCTCTCTGCTGGAACTGCTACCTCCGCGACCCGACCACGGATAAGCGGGAGAAGATGGATGGATGGATGGATGGATAAAAGATACAAATATAGCAAAAAATCTAATTAACATTAGCAGCAAGTATATATAAATATGTATAAATTCAAAATACTAATTGACACTAGTAACTTGTGTATATACAGGGTATATGCAGGAATCCTGAAGTCAAATGTAATACCTTTTTAAGACCCTTTCCATACATTTTAAGACCTCATCGCCACTTTGAGTTTTAACCGGTTACATTGGCGACACACTTTACCTCACATTTACTATATACAGTATTGATTGTCCTTCCTCCTTATCTTCCAACCATTTGGACGCAAACTTGCATTTCCCCATAACAATGTTGTTTAACAATCGGCGTAAACGGACCTTCACAATCCAACGGGATGCCATAAATAAACTACACAGAATCACACTACACACCTACGCAATGATTACATTCAGGCAGACTGTAGAATACAACCTCTTTGAACAATTGATATACTTATTGAAAACAAGCTACAAAATGTCATACCTTGGAAAATGCCGTTTAATACTTTTTAATAGCCTTTATTTTCGCTAAATTTATTTATCAACTTTTAATACTTTTTAAGACCCCGCGGACACCCTGATATACAAATTCAATAGAAAATACATTTATCCCTATAGTTTCTAAATAATACACAATATAACAAAATATTGAATAAATGGAGTACAATATATAGTCTTGGCTACAGGACTATATAGAAATATACTGTAGAGACTTAATGGCATTGGATTGAATATACATTAAACTGTGCAATTAGCTGTTGTGCAAAGTGTTCTGGCTTATGGAAGAGGAGACACTTTACAAGTTACGGGGCAGTAAGTTCTCTGCCAGCCAGAGGTGATTTGTTCTACAACCAATCACATACATACAATTCTACAAAGAAATATAATTCAAGGCTACAGAAATACATGCAGTAATGTGCAATATACAGTTTTTAAATGTACTTACCTGTTGACTTCTTTATAGTGTTTACATGCAGATTGATAAGTCGTTGACAGTGTTCAGAAAAAGACAAATTCTTTTGCCTAAGGTTTTGTGTTCTGATTGTCAGTTTTAATACTAATGCTTCATGCGTCATTGTAGTGTGTTAGCAATAAAATAATATTATATATAAGATAGTATATCTTTGTCAGTAAGAATGGCAGTATTGAAATGTCCCACAGAACAGTTAATTCTGTAATCATCCTGTGTATATACTTTAGATTACTCCATTTAAAAGCTTTTTCGACAGTGGTAAGTTGACCAGAAATTGACGCAGATCATCTGATCCAAACCATGTCTTTACATTCCCAGCCTCATGGCCAACATGACGCTCTTCACTGATCAGGATCCAGAATTGGTGTATCCCAGTCAGGATGTGATCTGGAAAACATTTGAACAGTGCTTCCGTGCTCTGTGGGGTCTGGTTACATACGCTCCTGTGTTCAGAGACTATTACTACCAAGGTCTCTCCCAGTTCTACAGGGACAACGTCATGTACATGGAAGTGCGAGCTCTACTCCCGGAGGTAATCTTTTTCTGCAGCACCTCTTTTCACCCTCTGTCTGAAACCAGAGCCCAGTCTGCTCTGATTAGTTAGCTGGCCGGCTCTATTGTGATTGGTCAACCGCTTAGAGATGTCCCGCCCCTTGGCCTGTGATATGTCCTACATAGTGATGTCTATATATTACGGAAGTAAACGAAATAGTCCAATTGAGGCGTTTCAGTGTGTTGTGTGGGAGAGAAACTCCCTCTGGAGGGAACTTCTGGGATTTTAGACTTTGCAGACCATTTCCCCTCAGCTATAGACCTACATATTCTCATATAAAATAAAACCGAGAAAAGCCATTTGTCAAGTCTGTCTGACTCGTAACATTTTAACTACTCAGGATTCATTTAACTGAATACACTGATGAAGACTCTTCAGGCCGTTGAGAAATTCAAGCTTCCGTAACCGCTGTCCTAACAGCGGTGGCATCTTGTTGCATACTTGTGGCATCGATGAGATCTTATTATTGATACACTTCAAATTTAGCTTATTGCTGATTATTTCCGCAGAACATTATAGCCGCAGAGAATTAAATTTGTCGGACCCAAACAGATTTAACTGGTCAAAATCCGGTAAATACTAGCTAACTGGAAAAACTGGTATTATAATTTTTATTGAGTGTGTTTTCTGGTACTCAGATATACGAGTTGGACGGCAGCACTCATGACCCAGCGTGGACTCTGAAGACGTACCAGGAGGTCACCCGACAGTTCACAGCAGAACACCCAGACTTCTTTGGAGTGAGAATGATCTACACTATCCATAGGTGACCTCCCCAACAACAGATTTGACTTATAACTATGAAGGATTGACATAAGATGAAGTTGATATCATATAATAACACTCTGCACTGTACTGTATTCTTCAGAGGAGTGAATGCATCCATGATGGCTGGAGCTGTGGAGGAGGCGATGAAGCTACAGAGAGACTTCCCAGACATCATGGCTGGCTTTGACATGGTGAGGAGTTCAAGTTATCGCACCACTTCTCCAGTTTTGACTAGGGCTGGGTAATATATCAATACTATATCAATATTGTGATATGAGACTAACTATTTGAAATTGTAACATCTTAAGTGTTTCCTCAAATGATTGTCATTGACTGTTTTACTATTGGCTTTTACCAACTAAGTTATTATATACACATTACCGGTAGTGATGATTATTTATCGACATTCTTCATTGTTTAAATATTTTGTGAAATCATAAAATGTCAACCCTACAATTTCTGTGCAATATGGATCAATGTCTTTATACTGTATATTTATATATATATATATAAATATATACAAAAGAACAACCCCAAAAAGCAAAATAGAGCCTCTTTACTGGACTTCGGTTCTGCGAACCAATATCACTACCCATATTCCCTTAATCATTCTTTACAACAGTCTGTTAGCTAGTATTAAAAACATCTGAAATGAATCGACCAATCGGAATCAAGTATTTGACTCGGCTGTGTAATAAGAGATCTTACTGAACTTTGTGGCCGATATCTCTGATTGAACAGCCCTAGTTTGTACAGATCTTTTGTTTCACTTACAATGCAAATAGTAAGATTGTAAGCCGCTTTAAACCACACACACGTGCCTGAATCAGTGAAAGTAAACACAACAATCATATTGTTTACTCCCTCTCTACTTACAGGTGGGCCGTGAGGATAGCGGCAGACCCCTGTGGTACTTCAAAGATGCTTTGTCACTGCCGGCAGGGAGAGGCGTGACGCTGCCTTACTTTTTCCATGCGGGGGAGACAGGTGAGCTCCTGAGCATTCAGTTTTACAAATCCTATCCTGCAGCATGGGGCTTAGAGGTTCATCCAGACAATGACTGATGTGTTCATTTTAAGCATAGAGGCTATTACAGGACTTTAGCTAAACTGACAACAAACCCTTCAACTTGTCATGGAAAGAAAAATGTCGGTAAATTGCCTTTGTTTATTGATCACACACTCAAAAATGGGAATGTTGATTTTAAGGATTACCTTGGCTAGCTTCGCAGTTAAATGAACAAATAAGTATATGTGTTTCTCACTGTGGACAGAGTGGCAGCCCAGGCCTTTTTCTGTCCTATTCCACAAAGTTGCAAAACCAAATATTTACCAACTGTGGAATTTAGGGTTAAAGAAGAGTCATTCAAGAACGCTGTCTTCTATAAACACGTTTTTGATTTCTCTCTGCTACGAGCAGATCTGGAGGGCTCAGAGGTGGACCAGAACTTGTTGGATGCTCTATTGTTTAACACGTCCAGAATCGGCCACGGCTTTGCTCTGCTCCGCCACCCCGTGGCCAAAGGTCTATCCAGAAAGAGGGGGGTGGCTGTGGAAGTCTGCCCCATCTCAAACCAGGTACACTCTCATCTTGTAAACCAAAATATACAAACAAATTCTTTTTTCCAGCTACTTACTTCTAAAAGTTCTAATGAGTTATGTCAATCACTTAAAAAAATGTATTCAAGTATCTTAATAATTATCTTATAAATCACGATCAAACCCCAGTATGAAATACAAGTATTTACTTGTATTTTGTGGGGGGGGGATAAATCAAATACCTTTGTGTTGTTGTAATAAAGTAATGCACAATGTTTATTTTTTGTTTTGATGATTTTTAAATGATTGGCATGAATTGCACATAATTTGCAGAGGCTTGCTAAACTCATAGCTCTGCTGTGTGTGCTAAATGTCTGCTCATGTTCTGACACTTAGCTAAAGCATCAACACAGCCGCTGTCACATCGAGCCGCTGTGATTCCCATCTGTATAATGTGCACTAGATGTTTAGGTTTCCAGATTTTCTCGCAAAGCCATAATTCATTTACAGGACTGTCTCAGAAAATTAGAATATTGTGATAAAGTTCTTTATTTTCTGTAATGCAATTAAAAAAAACAAAAATGTCATACATTCTGGATTCATTACAAATCAACTGAAATATTGCAAGCCTTTTATTATTTTAATATTGCTGATTATGGCATACAGCTTAAGAAAACTCAAATATCCTATCTCTAAATATTAGAATATCATGAAAAAGTATACTAGTAGGGTGTTCAACGAATCACTTGAATCGTCTAATTAACTCGAAACACCTGCAAGGGTTTCCTGAGCCTTGAAAAACACTCAGCTTGGTTCAGTAAACTAAATCACAAGTATGGGGAAGACTGCTGAGCTGACTGCTGTCCAGAGGACCGTCATTGACACCCTCCATCAGGAGGGTAAGACACAAAAAGAAATTTCTCAAAGAGCAAGCTGTTCACAGAGTGCAGTTTCAAAGCACATCCACAAAAAGTCTGTTGGAAGGGGGAAATGTGGCAGGAAACGCTGCACAACCAAGAGAGATGACCGCAGCCTTAACAGCATTGTGAAGAAGAGTCGCTTCCAGAATTTGGGGGAGCTTCAAAG